TTAGACATGGTTCGGTAGCTGAGCAGTGGTGTTAATACTTCTGTGATTGCTCAGTGCTCCTTTTTTTGATGGGTATCAGTGAAGAGGAAGCCTGAGTTACAAGGGATGCCGTGTTCTGCACAGACCTTTTTTTGACACGTATTTTCCCTGCAAGCTGATCAGAGGCAAATAGAGGTGTAATTCTTCATGTATAAATGCAAAGGAGAATATAAGCCTGGATGTCTTGCCTGTTTTACCCACTGGCATATTGATTTATTTTGTAGCTGTTAAGCCTCCCTCCAAGCTTGCTCTCCTGCTTTCAGTCTCCCCTTTCTTTTGCCTAAACAGCAGTGAAAACTCCAGGACTTGTTGACCCAGCAGTTTGCCACTGTTTCGCAAGGCTTGTTTAGAGTCATATTTCCTGAACACTTTATTTCTCTATTCTTTTCATAAAAATCTGGTGGCGTTCTGTGCCTTCCCGTTTGCTTTCTAGATCACAAAGCAAATTTCAGATACAGTTTAGCTGGGAGAACAAGTGAAAGAACCCCTCTTCTAGAGAGTCATGTCATCTCAGGTAGTGGAGGTAACTCCAGAAGAAGTTGAAATTCCGCTTAAATAGACTGTCAACTGGAGAGTATTCAGCTCTGCTCCCACCTTTCATTCCTGTAGGCAGGACCACATCAGGCAAATTAGAATCAAATATTTGCCTTTCTGCTTGTTTATTCTGTTCCACTTTCCATTTGTGTTCTGTTGACTGTGCATCAGAAAAATCCTGGCATAGGCCCAAGTCCTCCAAGCTGTGTGTATTGGCTGTTGACTGGGAATAAACTTGTACAATAGGGAGACAAAGATTATGTGAAATGACTTCTCTTGTATGGATGATAGCATAGGTGTGGCTAATGCTCCAGGGTGTTTGTAGTCCCAAGCAGTCCGGCGTTCCTCAGGACACTTTTAGAGAGAGAGTGAAGGCAAAGATTATTAATTTCAGTTTAGTGAAGTTTTATGTGCATTCTGGCTGTTTCGTGCTTTTCTCATGTTATGAAAGTATACCTTGATCTAATCACAGTGCAGGATATCTTACAAATAAGGTAAGAGTGTGCAAGAAAGATGGGGTTGGTTGGTTGGTGGCCAAAAAAGCAATCACCACTTGCTCTCGGTTCTGTCTATCGTTGGTGTTAATACATAGGAATCAGCTGTTAGGAGAGGTTAGTTTGCTGCTAGCTGACAGATGTTCTATGTAAGTTATCCTGTTTGCCAGCATTTTGTGTATGGTTCTGGCTGTGTTTCTGTGGCTGACTTTGGGTAGACCTGTGCAGAAAAGGAAGGCTTTACTTCCCTAGTAGGAGGTGGCTGTGCATAAATGACCCAGACTTTCTGTCTGCCTGTAGTCTGCCTGGGACCTGTGTGGTTTTGGATAAATAGTGTTTGCCTTTAGGGAGAGCATATGATGGGAAATGTTTGATGCAAGTGTAGAGAAGGCTGTAGGATACGTCTGGAGTATGGAAGAGGAGTGGAAATGCACTGAGGAAAATAGCTAGGTCTTCAGCTGCCAGAGAGAAAAGGTCCTACCAGAACAAGATAAACAGCTTTCCTAGCTCAGCCACCACCTATGCTGGTTGATCATGAAGACTACACATCATCTGCATAAGCCACCGCTCCTCAGAAGAACAGAGTATTTACATCCAAGCTGTTGCAGGGGACTTCTTTTGGATTTTATCTTACTTGTAGCAGTTGAAACCTCCTTCATGATGCACATTTGCAAACAAAATATTTGATTTGGGACTGAGTAAGAGGCTTCAGTCAAATAGAAACCAAATGTCATCTTTACATTCCTCATGTTCTGAAAATTAATTAAAAAGCTGATTTGGGTCACCTTGAGACAAATTACTTGTATTGTTAGAACAGAATTAGAGCTATCAGCAAAGTATTGTTACTGTTCCAACACATTGGCTTCCTTCTGGACTGAGGGGTAAAAATGTTGTCACACGATGCTGCCTGTCACTGGTGGGAATATAGTGGTGTCTAACTGAAAACTTTTGGTTTGACTGTATACACTTCTTGGGGACTTTTTCACATACAGAGGCAGTAAGCTTGGAGTGGCTCTGTGAGTAACAGTCCATTGACTCTAAACCAGCACAGCAGCCTTCAGCTCTGAGAAGGAAGCAAATGGGAGGAGGCACAGGTATAAGATGTGACAGATCTGAGCTTTTGTAGCACCTAGAAGACTTCTACTGAAGGCCAGTCCTGGCTGCCTTTATAAATTACCATGGTGCCTCTTAGGTGACACTGTCTGTGTCCTTGTAACCACTGGGATGGTCACCTTGCTGTTATATATCGGGCATGTGGGCATGAAAGAACTGCTAGGGCACCTTGTCTCTGCTTCTACAGCCATTTCTGCATAAAGAACAGGTGCTGCTGTGACCTGCACTAAGGAGTTCCTTGGCACATTCAGTCAAATATGTTCTGAGAAGTCCAGGAAAGCATTGGCACCTGTGGGAAGATGAACTGGTCAGAATTAGGCACAAAATCAAGGCAGGGGAGGTTTGCTCCCTGTTTCTTTTAGAGCTGTGATCAGATACGCCGTTTGTGGGGAGTCTGCAAGCAACAGAGACTGTGCTGTCATGGGCTTGCTCATGCACCAGCACATTGCTGTGCATGTTCAGTGGTGCACAGCACCCACCCAGTGCTTCATGCTGCAGCGGAGGCACAACCACCCCTTCACTCTTAGCTCTGGAAGACTGCCTTGTCATCTTCCCAAAATGCACCTACCGTGATTGCCAGGAGCAGGGAAGACCTATTCGCATGTTTGGCAGGAGGAGGAGCATATTAGTATATGTTACTATTTAGTATAGCACACTTATGCCTGTCCTAACTCCAGGCCTGATTTACTTCCTTTAGGTTAGGAACCTAAGTCTTTCACCAAGTGTGAAGTGAAACCAGAAGGAAATTTGGATTTCCTCCATCTGATGGTATCTAACTTACACAATCCTTACAGTTCATGAGTGGATGACAGTGAATGTGGGTTAAACTGTGACAGTGTCTTCCCCACCAGGCTTAGCATGATTCTGGCTGAGAGTATTCTCCTGCTCCTTCAGGATGCTGAATGAGAATTAGCCATAGGCAAGGATCTGAATCCACAGAAGGCAGGCAAGATGGACCCTGACTCTGAAACATTTAGTGTGGTGGAGGAACACTGTGACATTGTTCCCTAGTTGATTTGTTGTTGTTGGTGGTGGTTTTTTTCTTGATTTATTTTTAATCTCTGCTCTTGTGAGGCCTCACTTGGAGTATTGTGTACAGTTCTGGTGTCCTCAACATAAAAAGGACATGGAGCTGTTGGAGCAAGCCCAGAGGAGGGCCACGAGGATGATAGGAGGACTGGAGCATCTCCCGTATGAAGATAGGCTGAGAAAGTTGGGGCTGTTCAGCCTGGAGAAGAGAAGGCAGCGTGGAGACCTCATAGCAGCCTTCCAATATCTGAAGGGAGCCTACAAGGATGCTGGGGAGGGACTCTTCATTAGGGACTCTAGTGGTAGGACAAGGGGTAATGGTTTTAAACTTAAACAGGGGAACTTTAGGTTAGATCTAAGGAAGAAGTTCTTCACAGTGAGGGTGGTGAGGCACTGGAATAGGTTGCCCAAGTTGTGAATGCTCCAACCCTGGCGATGTTCAAGGCCAGATTGGACAGAGCCTTGGGCTACGTAGTTTAGTGTGTGGTGTCCCTGCTCATGGCAGGGGGGTTGGAACTAGATGATCTTAAGGTCCTTTCCAACCCTAACTATTCTGTGATTCTGTGATTTATTAATATAAAACATGACCGTATGCTGGCTTTGGCTTGCTGATCAGAAGACTCGGCTTGAGGCAAGTTCTCTTGTTTCTTCTCTGAATGGCTCTGTGGTCTCTGCATGCCTGAGATGCTCAGATCCAAGCCAGTGTTGTCACTTGATTTGGCCAAGAGCTAGCACATCAAATCTGTGATTTGGCCAAGAGGTGACTTAGATGGGACTTGGAAGATGGAGGTTCGGACCTATCAGGCTGAGCAGAGCCTGAAGTCCAGGGCCTCTCACCTGTTCTGGGGTGAACTGCTGCGCACAGGGGTGTTGCCCCAAAGGTGGGGTTGCACACACACACACTGAGCCCCTACAGTTTCATGCTTTCCAGTTTCATGCTTTATTACCCACTGATACCTTAATATGGTTGGTTCTCACTTGCTGAACTCCTGAGCAGACTTGTGTGGCCAAGTTTCTTTGCCCTTTAGGAATTAATTCACCTCTCTCTGTTTGCCATCATGATTCCATCCTCTTTCTAAATTTGTGGGTGGGTTTTTAAAATCTTTTCGTAAATTGGTTTTCCACTTACAATATAGATGGCTGATAATGCCAGGTCTGTTATTATATAGTTATCTTCAACAGACCGATTTCATGTAGCCTGAAGGTGGCAAGTTGAAAACTGCTGTTTTAGTAAAATTCGGGTCAAAGAGCCCAGTTACTTACTGGGAGATTTATTTGCCAGAAACAAAGGAAAGATGGTAACTTCAGTATCTAACAGGTAGACCAGTTTCTCAAACCAGATACAATCCCAAATCCTCTGCTTAAAGGTTCAGGTCTATAATTAGTTTGCTTTACAAGAATGTATTTGCTTATTGAGTTTGTCTTATTGATTGTTCTGAAAAACTGGACAAGGCTTCACTCTTAAATTCAGTGATGGAGCAATTGCTTTTTATTAAGAGAAGCTTTCTTCCTCCCCCTTGCTGGGTTCTCTCTGATGCAGTTTTATAATACTGTATTTCTGTTCTGTCAGGTGAAAACACTGACAGGACAAAGGAATTTGGAAATGAATCTTAACATTAGCAAGATTTGAAAAATGTACATGGTTTAAAGTGATTTTTTTACTAATGTTACTTACCTGATAATAGAGTTTGAATATTTTATGAATTAGTGACTAATCATGATACAAGTGGCATGTAAGTTCTTCCTCTTTTTTTCTTTTCTCACCCCATTTTCCCCTCCTCCCTCCCCCAGGCAGGAGGATCCACCAAGACCTTTTTTGCTGCACCCATGCTTGAGGAACTCTGATGAAGAAGTAAGATTCCTGCAAAAATGTTCTCAAATTCTGGTGTATTGTCTCCTACCCGCAAAGGATGTCCAGTCTGTCAGCTTGCGCATAGTCCTTGCAGAAATACTTGCAACAAAAGGTAGATCAAAGATCAGAGATGATTAACTATTTGCACCTGTACAATATTAGTAATTACAGACCTGGTTGTATGTATAAGTCTTGATTCTCTGCTTTTAAATTCTGAAATTTAATTTCTGTGATAACCAGTATGACTTTATATTCTCAAAATCAAGCATATACTTACTTGACTTTCCTGACTGGATGCTGGGCTGCTTAGCACCTTTCAGGATAAAACACAGTTTGTCCATTACATTCTTCTATTTTTTTTTTAATAGAGGAACAGTTCTGCAGTTCTCCATGGCATTATTTTTAGTGGTTTTATGAATAATTCTGGCCTTTTTTATTTTATTCAGATGCATAGAATCCAGAGACTTGAGGATGTGGTTTTTTGATTGAGGGTTTTCTATTTTGCTTTTTATTTTATCAGCTACACTTTAATCTGATTATAAATATACTAACCATTTTCTGTGACTGAAGTAAAATTCAGAAATTATGAAGTCTCAAATATATTATGTGATTTAGTTTACTTTTTATTTTCATTTATAGTGGCTGTAATGTCCTAGCCTTCAAGGCACACAGCAGAAAGAACAAAACCACTTGGAATTTTCCAAATAGACCTCAGCTTTGTCAGTGTACATCAATTTGTGTAACAGAATAAGCAAGCAGTTTTATCAAGAAGGTACATGCAATCTCAAATGTACTATGTAGTCCAGAAGAGTGGTTTTAGGTTTTTATCAACTTGCATATTTATTTTTGCCTTTTATATACAATTTTCTTTTGAAGGACAGCAGTTATTCTTCCGCATAAGGATTTTGTTTTACAATATTTTTCTTCTCCAGTACTGAAGCCAGTGGTGGAACTGCTGAGTGATCCAGATTATATTAACCGAATGCTACTTAGCCAGCTGGAATACAGAGAACAGATGAATGAACATCAGAAGAAAGACTACACATATGCTCCTTCTTATGAGGAGTTCATCAAGCTCATTAACAGCAGCTCCGATGTTGAGTTCCTGAAACAACTGAGGTATTTAATGTTTCACTGTAGCTCATTCACAACTAAGCATGCTTCTTTTCCCAACTCATAACTGATATTTGAATGAATTGTGATTTTTCTTTTTAAATTCAATTTTTGACTTCCTTTTCTTTTGATGAAGCAGAGACGGTAAGGATGGTAAGCCACAACATTTACTAAATCGCGTTATAGTCAGCTTTTTAGTTTGGAGGCAGAAGATTTAAAAAAAATCAGTTTAGTAGTATATTGGAGATGACCGTACTATTGAAAGGCATACCAGACCCTTCTTTACAGCTTGACTGTGTGGAGTTAAGTGAAATAGTATGTTTAATTTCCATTATTGTGAAGTTACCTCTCATTATCTTTGTGAAGTGTAGCTGGCCATGGTGATCTCTAGTGACCCTATGGACACTGGGCATTCAGAGCAGCTTGTTGTGATTCTATGACATGGAAAGAGGGGTTTGAGTTCCAGCACATTTTACCACTGGATCAGATGTTTTCCTGGACTGTTGCAGAGAGGTGTTTACCAATTACATCCAACAAACCCCAAACCACTGAGCTCCTATGTATCATGATTGAGTGTGATGTTCCTGTTTTTTAATAGCACCTGCTTGCTTTCATACTAATCTCCCCACATCTCATTTCTTTCTCCTTCCATTCTCCTTCCATCTTTCATCATAACATGCATTCCAAGCCTGCTTGCCCAAGTACAAGATGTTTATACTTCTCTTTGTAGCCGAGCTATTTTTCCTCTGGTTTCTGAGGAGAGGATAATGAACAAGTGACTGGGAAGCAGGGAGCAGAGGTCCCTGCTGTTGTAGGGTATTTGTAGATGTCCTTCAGTTGGTTTTGTTGAACACACCAAAGTTTTGGAAGACAGTTGAAGCTGTTGCCAGCATTTATCCTAATTTCTTACCACCAACCAGAACTGGTGTTTTTTTTCCCTCTTCCTTGACTCCCTTCAGTTGCTGCTGCAAGTCAGCTGTCCCTTTTCCTAAATGGCTGCAACAACATCTAAATGACACAAGCACACTGATCCATTTTGGTGCACTCTGTGTCATCTGTTCTGACCCAGACCTTCTATTAGACTTGGCTTGATTGAGCCAAGTGATGGTTTGCCGAGATGGAGTATGTGGGATGCATAAACAATGTCTTGCTTTCTCTCGTTATTCTCTTTGATTCCGAAACCACTTGCATGTCTGAGGTAGGAAAATGCATTTAGGTGATGGTGAAATGATTCTGTTGCTTGGCTACTTATTGTTCATCTGCTGTAAAATTTGCTCTTTACTCTGGGCTAGTGTGCCTTTTCTGAGAGCAGAAATTAGTCTCTATTAGACTCTGTCTAAAACCTAATTGACATCACATTTATTAGCATAATCACACTAATGGATCTGCTTGTTTCAAAAGAAACCCAACTCTTCTGTTGTTGTTGTTGTTCAGGCACATTAATGATCAATGTGCTCTCTTTTAGCTGATAGGTCACTTTAAATTGTGTCCTAGAATACCAGATAGCAGATTTGCTTTTTGAAATAATGTGGTTTTGGCTGCATTTAGGTTTTTCCTTTCTAGCCTGTGGAGTTCCAACTACCATCATTTTGAAATGTGTTTTCTATGCCCAGCAAAATGTTGATCACTCTGAGCTGATAGTATTTGAATGGAAAATGTCTGAGAAAAAGGGTTTTTCTTTTTTGTGGGTTTTTTTTAAGAGAAATAGCATTTGATTTTGGAGGCAGCGTTCTTCTTTCCTCTGAGACCCTCTGAGAGCGGGTGTCTGCGAAGGTGGTTAAAGAGTGTTTCCCTGTGCAATGAGAGATTCCCTTTCTGTTTGTTTTCCAGCACTGTGGTCCAACCTGTGGCCATCTCAAAGTTGTGTACTACATTTTGCAAAGCTTTTGTGATTTACCAGTGAAAGTTTACAGATTTATTTCAAGAAAATCAAACAGTGGTCCTTGTATGGATGGGGAGGTGGGGGGAAAGGGTGAATTTTAGATGAACAAGCTACATGGTATTTCAGATTGTAATTCGCAAGAGTGAACCACAAGAACAATCTGTAAAGAAGGAACTAAAGAGGAAGAAACAAATAAGCTGTTGTGCAGTTATCACTCAGAAACACGGTTAGACTCTGCTGGAGTGATGGGAGTGGGAAGAATGTTTCCAGTTCTCCTCCTGCAACAAATAAATTGCCAGCATGTTGTCCTGAAACAGGTTTCCCAGTTAGATGCTATTCTGGGTAATAATACTGTTTATCAATAATTCTTTTTCTTGATTTTATTTGGAAATCATTTTTCAGTGCCTGTTCTAAGCCAATGCATGGCATTCATGAACTGAAAGCCCCCTTCTATTACTCCTAATGTTGCCATGTAACATCTTGGTAAAGAACAGATACAAGTAGTAACAATCTTCTGTGTAGGCTTAGCTTCGAGGGAAATTTATCCCAAGGCACTACAGTTGCTGGGAAACTTGTAATTCTTTTTAAACATCCCTTCCATGCTTTATCTTTGCAGATTAATTGCTGTGTATTTACTAAAATCAACATAAAACTGTGTGCTCAGAGTACGAGGCCATGAGGCAGTGATAATCCTTTCCCCAGACTCTAGTCTGACCACAGTCAAGAAAGCGTGGACTCCTGGGTGTTCTTGATGTATGCATGTGACCTTACAGGAGAGAAGTCCCTAAAGGCATCCATCCAGACTGATTTCGTAGAGTTTCCCTAGACTTTATTGTAATTAGAACCAGGTATCTTTTTTTTTCTTTTTTTTTTTTTATTTAGGATAAGTAGGATAAAATCCCTGGCTAGATCAGGGGAAACCTATGAGTGAAGGGTGTTTTTTTGCTCTTGGCCAGGAAATCAGAGAAGAGGTGGAGGCTCTGTGTGTTGGATCTCCTTGTGAGCAGGTGTAACAGCTCTCTGCCTTGCAAATAGCGTTCCCTGAAAGGCTAGTAATGGTACTAGGATTTTCTAAATCTTCTTTCTTTCCTTGCTTAGAAGCATTAACTTCAGAGGAAACATTGTATTGATTTTCTGCATTGCTTTTATTGTTTTTATTTTTAGAATTTAAGTGATGCAGGAACTACTTATTAATTTTGCAGATACTTTTGAGTTCAAGGTTCATCCATATCTATAGTGGTCCTCTGAAGTTTAGTCATTTTACCTGTTAGTAGAACTTATCCCTGTTGTTTTTGTGGAAATATCCCTTTCATTTTTATAAGGGACGTTTGGGGAGCTGATAATTGTTTCCATAAGAAGTTGGGTTGGTTGGTTGGTTGGTTGGTTGTATTTCCCCTTTCTCCTTTCATACCTTTGCTTTCTGAAAATTTGGATTTGTTTGGAGGGGGAAAAACCCCCAAACCAGAAAAGTTTCCAGAGAAGGGATCATTCTATGATTAGCTATGAACATCCTTCAAAGTCACTCTTTATATCTACCTTTGTTGTTGCTTGTCATGAAGGGAGGCAGAGGTTTATTCCTGTTTTATCAAGTTTCCACAAAATCTGTTGTCCCCATTTCTTCCAAGAAGGAAAAGTTAAACAGTGAAATTTCACCTTGATTCCCCTCAGATTTAAGTTACTGTGGATAAATTAGAAGTCTCCTACAAATGTGGAAGAATTCATCTTTTCTTTCTTGTCAGATATGAAACAAATTTACTTGCTGTCAGAAGAAGACTAGAGAGAAAAGACATGATGAGTTAAAATCATAGCTGAGAATAAATAATGATAAGGAAATAAACTGGTGGATAGTTTTCATTTTGCTTTCAAGATCACCATTGTATTTATTCTGTTATTTATTAGTATAGCAGCAAAAGGTCACTACACAATTCATGGTAAGAAACACCATAATCGCTGCCTCTGTGTCATTTAGTTAAGAAATTAGGGAAAGGGATGAATGTAACAAATAATAGGGAAGAGGTAAGAGTGGGAAGGTAGAAGCAATACAGATGTGAGCTCATAATTAGTCCAGTTTATCAAGTACAGTTCACTTGAAAACAAAATTAATACATCACTTTTAAAACTTCCTTAGTTTTAAACTTACTCACTGGCAGTACAAAATATGTAGCAGCTAGGCTATTTGGAACAAACTTAAGGTTTGACAGAGTATCCAGGGTGGTGTTTCTGTGGTGCAGTGTTGTACAGCACTCTCATTGAGTGGTTACAGCTTGAGTGTAGTGCTTAGAAGGAAGAGACTAAATAGTGTCTTCGAGGATGTAATCTGGAGCATCTCCCTTACTTAAGGTAATATAGTGAGGAAGAGGGAAAAAAAAGAGATACTCTATTACAGTACTTGTAATGAAAACATGTAAAACCATGAATGTGAACAAATGTAAATTTGGAAGGGAAAAAGATGCAAGGTAAAAGTGGAAGCTACCTACCATGAGCGGTATTTACTTGGTTGTCAGTACCTTGTTTGATAAATCACAATGTTCACTGTTACAACACCTGAGTGAGGTGAGTGAGTGTTATTTAGAAAGCGTTTACAGATGACATAACCAAGGCATTAAGAGTCCAAGTGAGCTGCCCAGAATCATTTGCGAAATCTGTCTCTGAGCAGGTAGTTAACAGTGGGACTTCTACACATCAAAATACTACCCTCACTATGGGGCTGGTTTTTCTCTGAGGGAGTGGGCAAGAACTGTGGTGGTGGATGGAAATGACCAAGATACAGTAATGGCAAAAAGAAATAGGGTTAGAAAAATTGCAGCTTTGCAACCAGGTTCTCAGGTTTCAGCCTGATGATTGAAGGAGTTGGGAAGAATAAAGATTACTGCAGTGAAAAGAATAATTCCGGAAGTGTAGTTTATAAATCAGGGTATGCTGTGTGTGTAAAACTATGTCTGTACAGAGGCAGACACAATCAAAATCCTAAAAGAGTTACAGGAGGCAAGGGGGATGGAGGGAATTGAATAATGTTGGTGGAAGTGTACTTGCAGGAAGGGGAATGTATTTTAGGGATCTTGGACTCTTTCTTAAACAGAGAATAAGTACTCGTGGAAATAGCAGACTTTCCAGGAGGCTTCAGCCTTCATCTAGGAGATGAGGTTAGGGAACTGCTACAGGAATGAGTTAAATTCGTTAGAACACTTGCTTTATTATCAGTATTAATAGCTGCCAGAGGAAGTGCACTGGGAGGAATTTGAGTGTTTGCTATGACCAGAACTTTGACATTTATGAAAAATTTAACTGGCAGTCATTTTCTTTGCTGAGTGCATGGTGTCTCTTAGTTACAAGGTTAGTTTTACTTAAAATTCAGTTTACTAACTGCATTAGTTGTCTTCCATTATGTGTAGTATAGTTATAGATGATAAACAGGTTTTAATTATTCCTGGAGTATAATACTTCAGTGGTTTACTTATTTTAGTGTATTTTTTTTCCTTCTCGTAAGTTATATGTGCTCCATGTATATATATTTGAGTGCATTAGCTAGAAGAATCTAACAGACAGCTCTTTGCTTTTGAACTGAACTTCCATCCCAGTTGCCTACAAAAACGTCATTATTTAATGTTTAAAGAATGACTTTAGGTTGTGTTCACTGGATATTATTAACTGGCTGTGCAGTGCCAGCAGTTGAGAGAATGGGAGAGTATTATTGTTAGCTGGGTGTTTACCTTTTGTGTCAAGTTAACCTTTTTTTCCTACTCTACTCTGTATGCACACTGCTCCTTAGGTTGCAGATATATTGAGAAATGACTCTGTTTCCAGGTGAGGAGGAGGTGGAAGTGTTTTGGTTATTATCTGGTTTGAAGTGTGCTGTATGAAGAACACATTGTAAAAGGAAAAAATAATAATGTTCTTCTTTTCATTTTGTTCTTTTCTGTCCTCCCTCTTCACCCTTATCCCCTGCTGTTTTTAAAACTAGGTATCAGATCGTAGTGGAAATAATTCAAGCAACCACAATCAGCAATATTCCCCAAGTGAAGAGGCAGAAAGGTAAGATTCTGTTTTGTTAAGTCACATCTGTTGTTTTCATTTTGAAAAGCTGTTTGAACTCCCAACATACATATGCAATCAGCGTGTGTGGGATTTTTAGACAGATTTTAGGAATGCTATGCCTTTAGTATTTCAGTTCTGTTTCATTTGTCTGTTTTTTCCAGAAACTCCCATGGTGTGATTATCCCCCCCCCATCCCATCTTCCTCTAAGCTGATGGATCATGAGAAAGGTCATCTCTATGATGCATTTATTTTCAGAACTTGCTGCAACTAGGGTTTTTGGCATTACAACTTTGTATGCTGAGAATCTTCCTTCCTCTTTCTTCTTCATACAGTCCATTCTTCAAAGTCTCAGTCTGTTCTGCTTTCAAAACACAGAAGAATGATACAGCGTAATTGTCAGTCAGATTTATTTTGATTCTTCATTGTATTATGTTTTCATGTTGCCATACAGAGAGCTCCTAAATCCTTCTGCAGTGTTTTGGGAATGTCTGCCTTTTAAATTGCACAAGCATTTTACATTTCTATTTATATTTATTGTATGTACTGCTTTTTATGGTTCTCAAAATGTACCAGAACTGTGGTATATCTTCAGGAGATTATACTGATGGCAAAACTACAGACCAAACTTTTGCTTGGATGTATATACTTAAGGTATATCAAAGCATAATTAAAAGGCAACAGGCAATATGAACTAACTAGTTTGTAAACAAACAAATCTTACAAGATTTTTTTATATTTTCATATATTCTCTACTTGTCAGTTAAAAAATAAAATCCTTTGTAGCTCTGTGTATCACAAAGGAAAGCTTTTAAAAATTATTCAAGTGTACTGAAAAATGCAGAAACAGAAAATTAAACATACCATGGGGGCTTTAAGTAAAATGACTTTTGAGGGACAGTCTGAAGAGTTTGAGGTCCCTGCTCAAGTTTCTGAAAGTATAAGGTTGTCAATACTGATATGCCTTTAGTTTACATTCTAAAACAGAGCTAGATGTGCATTCCTGTTGGGTAAATTGGTTGTGTCAAACAAAGGCAAAAGGAAAAGTAGGCACAGGTTTTTGCTTAAGTGTACGTTGCAGGAAGAGATATTAATATTTCTCAGATGAAAGTTAACTTTATGGAAGGTCTGTTTCATAAAGTTAATAAAATAAGAACAAGGAAGTTAATTCTGAGTACATTATGAAAAATCAATCTTTCTAAGCCTGTATGTCCACTTATGCTGCCATTGGTCTTTGTTGTGACAAGAATTGATTTAGGGAATATTCTCATACAGTTTGGGTTCCTACAATAATTTCTGTCTCACTCTCCTCTGTCTCACTTGAGCTTATCTAGTTAACTATTCACTGGTCCAAACCCTGAACAGAAAATCTTTTTCTGAAACTACAAGTGCCTGGCACTGCAGAATAGATATAAAAAGATTATTGCTATGTATTCTGTCAAAGTAAATCTGTTTCCATGTACTCTGTGATGAAGGTCGTTCTGCATTTTTATGGGCTCTTGACTTTTACCTGTATTAAAAAAAAAACATTAGAAATTCCACTAGCTAGAACTGAAGTTTTGTGTTACAGTATTGACTTTTATTATTAGTTTAGTCCTATGGTAACCTTGTATGTCATTTAAGAGTTGATTACCACTGCTGGCTATGTTAGCCAATGGGGCTATTGTGGCAAACCCTCTTATTTTTTAAATAGCCAGTGGTTATTTGCATTGTGCCTGAAGAAAAAGGTGACCTTTTTTTTGCTTGACACGTGTGGAACAGTATGACAGTATGTCCAACAGAGGTATGCAATACAATCTTACTATAGTTCACACAATGTAAGGCAGATCTCTGGTCCGCTTCAGTTATTCTGGTAAGGTTTTCATCTACCAAATATTTTCGGGCTCAGTCTATGTACAGTAAACTTCAAGGGGGCTGTCAAAACTGTAAAGGGTTAAAATCTAGTTCTGAAAGCTTTTTTGTGTCTTGTTTTTCCTGACGTAGGTAGAGACATTTTTCCTAATGTGGTAACAAATCTAACATATTCCTCAACTTCAGGAAGAAAAGCTGAAGGAAAACTGTGCTACCTTCCTTAAAACAAAAGAAAGCCAATAAAAACCCCAGCCCAGCTCATTGCTGATACTAAGATTGTTGAAACTCTTGTAGAACAGATCACCACATTACATCACCTTTTGATGTTTCCTTTTCTGGCTACCCCTGCAACAGCTGGATTTCATGGGGAATAGCTGAATGTAAGCTTTACGCCAAGTGGAAGTATGCTTGCACAATCTGATTCTCTTTCTCTCTTTAATCTGTTCCCGCAGTACCTGCTGCATACCCATAATAATGTGTGAACATTGGTGTTCAGTGTATATGACAGTCTCCCCTTCCTGCTAATAAATGAGCTCTTGCTCCAGCCCGCAAGAGATAGTCTTACTGATAGCTGTTTCCTCTTTCCTGTGGCAAAGGTAGGTCCCACAAAGGTAGTTGTTTCTTTAGTGCCTGGGTATTTAGCTAGAGTGGTAGATCTTTGGATGGCCAGTGGTCTGTTGAGCCTGATACTCGCTCTCAGGATACTAGAGTAGAGCAACTGCAGAATAATACGTACATGGATTTAATCTGAGCCTCCATCCGTTTGAGGCATGGGAGCTTCCTGAGGCAGCATTTGCAATAGGAAAAGGTACAGCAACAAATATGAGGAACACTTAAGTGCAGCAGGAGTGGCCAGTATTTTGCAGCAGTAGGTACTTAGGTACTACCTAAGCAACGTAAGTGTTGTGCTGGTGCATGACTAGCACTAAATATGCCTGAGCAGGATTGTGTACCTTTGCTATTGGTTGAGGAGACATATTAAGTCGCTAAAACTGACCAAAAAAATTTATAAAAAGATTGGATGTCTATTATTAAAGGTTGAGTAGCCTGAGGACCAGGTTTCAGGCTGATGGTTTCTCATATGGGCTACAGTTACCTGGCTTCTTTTACTATTTTGCCTGGTGATAAAGAAGCATACATTCAATGCTGGTCCCCAGAGGGATTGGAGAGGAAGGCTTGTCAGCAAGGACAGGATTCTTTACGCTTGATTTAACTAGTATTGGTGCCACCTATTGGCAAAACATTTAGCCATTAGGGCTCTTTAATAAAAGCAAGAAGTACCTTAAAGTACTTCTAAACATCATTATATTAACCTCTCAGTAGTAAAAAAGAGGCATATTATAGGGTCTTTTTTTCTTTTCAGATTTCTGTCATTTGAATCTTCTGGCATGTGAGTGTAGGAGGGCAAGCGAAAACGTACAATAGCATCTGATTCATGTTTAGCAGTAAGTTTTTGCATTTGACTCCCCGAGAAAGTCATATGTCTTTTAGACTGAGACACAAAATAATTTGAGAGGTTCATAGAATGATGCCTGTTGTGGGTGGATGATGCAGCTTCCGTGACCAGGAGAATTGCTTTTGGCCATTTCTAAAGCTGAATAAGAAACCTAATGTAGCATTACTTTTTGAAGAGGTGCTGATGGGTTTATTTTGGAGTGGTGCAGCCCACTGTAAATAGAAGCTGTTATCTTGCATGCTGACACTCCACTACTTCCCTCATTTGCACTTGCACAAAAGCACTGAATCTGATGTGTAGGTGTTTATCTGCATTACTTGTCCAAACTGGGTCCTCCCATGTATCCTCTTCCAAAAGGGTCAGTCAGGGTCACTCTAGCAGTGCAGTGTAGGCATGGTTTTAGTAGTGGGTTTTTAGTTGGTTGGTTTGGTTGTTTGGTTGGTTTTTCCTTATCTTTGTTTTTTCTTCCTATTGATAGTTTTAGACTGTGCTCTTCCTTACAGTCGCATGTGCTCTGGTTGGAAGAATCACATCTTTCTACATCTTTACCTGTAAAAATCTCCCATCATCTTGCCCTTTAGTAAGTATTCATTCCTTGGAAGTACTGAGCCAAATTTGAGTTAACTTTCAGGGATTTTAAGGTGATTGTTAGTTGGGTTTTTTTGATGTTGTTGTTTTGGGGTTTGTTTTTTTTTTCTTTTTTTTTTTTATTTTTTAATTAAAAATGGACTAGAAATGCTTATCTGAAAATGTTTACTGCATTTTGATCTAGTTCAAACAGCTTGTTAGGACAAATACACAGAACAGGCATTGTAGCATGAATGAGAGAGGATCTGAGTTTCTAGAAGCAAGAGTAGATCTTAATTTTCCCTTAAAGGAAAGGCTTTTAAAAAATCATGAAATAGCAACGAAGTAAGTTGACACAATACCTTGATATTTGCTGTAATGTGAGTAAGAAACACTTTAAATACACTAGTTCTAATTTTAACAGATGTATTTTTGTTTCTTCTCTTGCTGATGTCGTATTACAGGCTCCTACAAGAATTTTGGCAAGGATTTGCAATTTTACAAGTCGCTTTTTAAACCAAAAACCCATGAAGGCATGTACCTTGTCATAGGGCAACAGAAAGCAAATACCTCAACGGATTTCCCCCCTCCCCAAACACTGTGAAGGGATTTGTTTGATTTACCTTCTCATTTTCTGTGCCCTCTGCTTTATACGTGACTTCACAGCATGACCGAACCCACCCTTGGATAACTGGATGGAACTGTTTTTCAGACACCATGTTGTAACCAACCCCAGGGCACCCCCGTTGAGAAAACTGCTCCTTTTCAAGCGGGATTGCGAGACAGATCGAATAAGCAGCTATTTCTGTACAGAGATCTGCTGTGTTGCAGTAGATTCCTTCTGCTGAGTGTTCCCACTGTGCGTGTAGATACCCGCTTTTATAAGCAGAGCTGACAGCTGGTACAGAAACAGAACTGTCTGTGGGCAGGCTTCTTAGGTGCTGTGGTTCCGAAAGAGGCTTGAATGTTTGGCTTTAAAAAGGGACTTTTAGAAACCGGGGGTCCAAGCTACCTTGGGTGTGTAGGTTGTGATGTGTGGGTTTTGTCAAGATGATAATGTAGAGTGAAGTAAAATGGGTATTTCTTCATTCCAGCACATTACAGATGCCATTTAACTTAATTATGACAAAGCTGTATTATGATTCCTTCCCCCACCCCCATCCTCCACACAGGGATAAACATGCATACACAATTATTTTTGCATAGCTTTTTGGTAAAGCTTAAAGAGCTGACATTGTGCACGCAGTGCTCAAGCAGTAAGTGTGGAGGGAATGCTTGTGGATGAAGGTGAAGGTTACCCTGGCTCTGATCATGGTAGACTTGTTTGTTTCGATTTGTGATTTTTCAAATCAGTTTGATAGAGGAAACCCTTCTTTCTGCTTCTGAGATCCTTTGTGTGTGCTAGTGATGGAAATGCATGTTTTCCCAGTTGGTTTAGAGAGATGCCCATTGGCGAAGGAGGGAGGGGAGAGGCTGACTGGTCGGATAGAAGTGACCAAGGATGAATGCAGGGGCCTACAGACAGAGGCTACATGTGGTGGATATTATTTTATTGTATAGAACGTACTTACTCCCATGCTCAAATTTACCTTCCTGCTATTTTGCTTTTGTTTTGCTCAGCTGTGGCTGTGATGTGGGAAGCTGCATTGCACTATCTATTGCTAATGATCTGTGCCTAAATTCTCCATCATCTCCCTTTAAATTCGTTCCACCAGATCTGTTGCCTGAATTGTTTGGGTATTAACACTTTTTTCACTCTTTATCTGACGATGTTAGAGCTTGTTTTCCTTTGCTTATGCCATGGGCAGTAGAAGAACCATGTATACTGTTCTTCTCAAAGTCTGTCCTGCTCTTGCAGAATTGAACAAATACCTTTCCAGGCCTACACAGGCTTTGAAAATGTGTAATTCAAAGTTCCTGCCAGTTCAGAGAGGTCTGTAATGGTTGGTAAATTATATATGGAAGGTTACAGTTAGTGTTTGTATGAAAATGTTAAATCGGTATTTGTTAGTTAAGTACTTCAGCGCAGCATTAAGCAGGTGCAGCATGTGCTTAGCTTGGCTCTTGTAAAGTCTTGCAAAAATGCATACAGTGCTGTGCATGTGTGTAGCTCCTTCAGAGACCAGTCAGACGAGTCAGTGCTGTTGTACCTGCAGCCAGGTGGCAGGTATCTTTAGTTCTCGAAGCTGTGAAGGAAGAAGTTTTACTTTCAGTTATAATCATGTTTTTGCCATGTATACCCTCAAATGAGTTATGTATGTTCAAATGAGAAATCTTTGTTTTCTGCTGCTACTATAAACAGGGGACATTTCATGCAGCACTATAATGCCATTTAGGTTGTGCTTTAAACAGGCTTTACAAGTGTCTTAATTTACATTATTTTTGTTGTGGGTTATGGTAATAAAGTTTGTGTGGCATTTGTTGGCATGACTATTGTTTGCAAGGCCCAGCATTCTGACTGAAAAACAGATGGTGTGAATGTGTACTGCAGTTCAATGTATTTAATGCATATAAGCCTGACCAAGTAGCAAAACTACCCAAAAAAAAAAAAAAAATTAGGTCTGAGGAATCCATTTTCAGAAATGTTTTTGGTGGATTCTAAGATTTGCTCCTGGTCTAGCTCAAATCAACGTAGTTACAAGTGATTCAGAAGAAAATGTGGAAGCTTTGTCAGAAATCACTGTAGTTGTGCAAAAATGGAGTAAAAGATTTGCAGAGATTAGCTTTGAGTGCTTGGTAAATTTGAGCTCACTTGGACCATTTGCATTTTAATATTTTACAGTGCAAATTGAATTATCCACAGCTGTGGATTGATAACCAGAGGTTGAAATTCTGCTTTTGGTCCTAATTGCGTTTGGTGCCCTTGGGAGGGGTGCACAGTACCCCTCTGAAGTTCCACCATGGCAGTGCATGTCTTGTCAAAATTTCCTCTGATTGGGAGAATTATTTTGGAGGAAGTTACTAAAAGACCCTTCGCTCCTTTGGGGATGCAGGCCCTGCTTAGCTGTTGCTGGTAAACATGTGCAGCTCATGGGGAGGAAGAACCAAAGCAGCATCTTTCTTGTTTTGCTGAGGAGTGATTTTATTTCTTTGTTTTTAACAATAGTTTATTAAAAAAAAAAATAAAAATTCCTCTACTGATATCAGCTGTAAAGTTGCTAATAGTTAGAATAATCCAAAGGATGCATTTTTTTTTCCTTGTATAGTGACGAAACAGTGTCTTAGTAGCATGTATCTATTCCTTTTCCTTTTATTCGGGCTGGCTGAGGGGTATGTGAATAAATGCAAGTTTTTTCTTTCATAACTTTCTGGTTTTATTTGGTTTTTGCAGTGATTCCTGAATGTAGTGATAATCATCTTTGCTGATATAAAGAAATGGCAAAAAAAGCTCTTAATTATATCAGTACTTTGGTGGTGGGATCAGGCAACAATAGCTTAAAAATAAAAGTTGTCTTTATAGCTTAAAATATCTTTTTGATAGGGCTTAATGTGAAAAAACCCAGAACACTTCAGATCTGAAAATCAGAGAATTTTCAAAAATCTTGAAAGGAGATTGGGGTTAGGAGAAAACCAATGATACGCCTGTCCCTTGCCAGTTGACATACAAATGCTACTCCTGTTTTCCGTTAGCTTATCTTTCATACTCTGGGAGAGGAAAGTCACGTTCCGTGTTTGTCCACGCTTCCATTCTGCCTCTCCTGCACTGCATTGCATTAGCCATACTTCCTGCTGGGCTGCTTTTCGTCAGCCTCTTGTTTACTTGTGAAGGGACGTCGCTGCCAGGCTTTCATGGTGACTAGTCCTGTTTATCCATAGAACCGGAACAGGCAGGCAGTGTGATCTTCATCACTCTGCCCCGAGTGTTTCTTATATGGTCTGACTCCTTATGGATATGAAGTTCTGAGCGAGGCAAATGTTTTATGAAGGATCTTTGTTAATAAAGTAATTATTTATGGGAAGCGGGTGGGTTGTAGGGCTCATTAGTCTCCCTGGAGGCCTGCTGCAATCTCAGGATGATAAGACTCCAGGTAAAATAGGCATGCCTCCCTTGAAAACCCTCCAGGAAT